AGGACTTGGAACTATACTGGAAAAAAAATAGAGATGAACAGAGATAGAACAGCACATAGGAGGAACGAGAAATGCAGAGTCATGGCGCATCTTAAAGTCGCTCCAAAGAAACAAGACAGAGAAAATCAAGATCGGTCAAATCAAAGAAAACGAATGGCAAGAATACTATAAAAAATTGCTAACCAAAGACCGACCCGAATTCAAAGAATCAGAAATAGACGGAATAGAAATCTACACACATGACGAAATCGAATTAAGCCTAGCTGAGGTAAAAAGAACGATCAAAACTATAAAGAACAAAAAAGCAGAAGGTCCCTGCGGAATACCAAATGAATTGATAAAAAACGGATCGGAAAAGTTATTCCGTATGATACACAAAATGTTTGAGAGAGCACTGAATGGAGAAGACTTACCGGCAGAATGGACCCAAGCATATATGACATCAATATACAAGAAAGGAAATAGAAAAAACTGCGAAAACTATCCGGGAATCAGAATTATATCGTGTATAGGTAGACTGTGTGGAAAGATCATAAAGGAAAAATTAGAAATATATATACAGGATAAAATCGGAGAAGACCAGGCAGGTTTCACAGCGGGGAAAGTATGCTTAGATCATATTTACACGGTCGAACAACTAATAGAAAAAAGAATGGCCAAAAATAGATCCATCCATCTGGCTTTTGTTGATATTAAGAAGGCATATGACTCAATACCTAGAACCAAGCTATAGGAAGCAATGGAAGACATCGAAGTTCCACGAAGATTAATAAAGTGCGAAGAAATGGGTATACCAGTAAGGAACGAATATCTATATAACCTAAGTTTTGCTGACGACCAAATAGTGAACGCACAAGACGAGGATGACCTAAGTTTTATGATGAAAAAACTGGAGCAGGAATATACAAAGAATTGGATGGAAATAAACCTAAAGAAAATTGAATACCTAACAACAGAGAATACAGCGGAAATAGACGAAGGTAAACAAATCAAAGGAACAGACAAGTATAAGTATTTAGGTTTCATAATATCACACAAAGGAACAACGGAGGAAGATATAAAAAATAGACTAGGACAAACAAGAGACTGCATACCAAAATTGAACCCGGTACTATGGGATAAGAACATCAACATGAAAACAAAGAAAAAAATATATAATACCATGACAAGAAGTATCCTCACTTATGGGTGTAAAAATTGGACAATAAATAAGAAAACTAAAAACAAAATAAAAGCAACAGAGATGGAATTCCTAAGGAGAAGCTGCAGGGTAACAAGAAGAGATAGAATAAATAACATGGAGATTAAGAGGAGAATGAGAATGAACTCCGACATAATAGACTACATCGAACAGAAGAGGTTAACCTGGTACGGACATGTCAAAAGAGCAGACCAAAATCGGTGGATAAATAGAATAATAGAGTGGAGCCCGATAGGAAGAAGAAAGAGAGGCAGTCCCCGAAGATCTTTCAGAGATGAAGTGGACGAAGCAATGGAAAGAAGAAACCTACAGGAAGGGGACTGGCTAAACAGGAAAAATTGAGAAAACGGTTGAGTGAAGGAATACAGTAAAAACTGTGGAAATCCTTGTATATATATATATATATATATATATTATATATATATATATATATATATATATATATATTATATATATATATATATAAATAGAGTGTGTATAACGACGCTAAGAATACAATTCTTTGGAGGGTAACTTTCGGGGAAAGCGTCAAAACAAGGATCAGCTAGAGATGGTATAAGCCAGCTTGGTGTAGAACTTTATTCTATATGTGAAATTTTCGGTGATATGTTGTCACCTTCATCAGCACTTAAATGGAAAACCTATTATAGTACAGTGGTGGAAATCAACATTTAAAAACCTACATTGAAAATGTTCAGTTGGTCCTAGTTGTAAAAAACACTGTCACAAACATGTTAAAAATATTAAAAAATACATTTAAAATTTTGAATAAAAACATTACAACAACAGGGTAGTTTTTCAAATACAAACACAACAAAAAGTCTAAAATTTACAACCTACAAAAACTACAAATAGAAAAGAAGAATTAATCTTCTTTTTTGTTTTTTTTTTTTTTTTTTTTTTTCTATGTCCAAATAAAAGGAGCACCCATGGGTGGAGCTATATCCCCTACTTTGGCAGAAATTGTAATGAACTCCCTACTTCACTACTGTACTCAAGAAGTTGATTTCCAGTTCCCCTTCATTTACCAATATGTAGACGACCTCATATGTGCAGTCCCTGCAGACAAAATCAACTACACTCTTGACATTTTCAACTCATATAACACTCACCTACAATTCACAGTTGAAACAGAAGAAAATAATAGTGTTCCATTCTTAGACACCTATGTAACCAGACATGAGGACAATACAGTAAGGTTGGATTGGTACAGAAAAAAAACATTCTCAGGTAGATATGTGCCTTTTCACTCGTATCATCCAGACGAACAGAAGATTAACATCATCAAAGGTCTGAAAAACAGAATAAAAAGAATTTGTCACCCTTCAAACTACAATAAGAACATCAAGTTATTGTATGAGATTCTTAGAAAAAATCACTACCCTAAGATGCTTCTTAATAAATTGCTATTTCAAGATATGCCAACAGTTAGAACACAGCAAAGACAAACATTAGAAGGAGAAACAGTAGAAGTGTTCTATGGGAGATTGCCTTACATCAAAGGTTTATCACCACAGATCACAAACCTTTTCAGACAGTTCAATATAGTGATAGCAAATTCTGTTTACAAAAGACTAGGGACATACTTTACTCACCTGACAGAAAGAGTTAAAAAACTGGATAACTTCAATGTAGTGTATTCTATTCCATGTGGTTCTTGTTCAGAAGTGTATGTCGGTCAAACCAGCCAGAAACTCTCAAAAAGAATAGCTTTGCACAGGAGTGATGTTGTGAGGAAGCCCACCAGCACAGCCTTTAGCCAACATATTAAGAATACTGGACACACTGCTAACTATGAAAATGTGCAAGTACTAAAGAGGGTTGACAACCAATTTAAGAGAAACTTCATAGAAATGTGCTACATCCATAACTGCAGCTCTCCTATGAACTGTAAGAAAGATGTTGAAAACTTAAGTTGTATTTATTCCTTTCTACTTCAACAGGACTTGACAAGAAGCAACAAACTGGAAAATGTGGGGAACTTATCATGACATGCATAGATTACCTACCTGTGCTTTAGAGGGGACTTCATTTCCTTGCTTATTATGTTGCCTAGGGCTCTTTCTTTTCGTATCCATGTGGTTGTGATGTGCAAAAGTGAAAATTATAACCTCGTTACATATGACACCCGGATGTTGACAGAAATATGTCATCAAAAAAGAAGATTAATTCTTCTTTTCTATTTGTAGTTTTTTGTAGGTTGTAAATTTTAGACTTTTTGTTGTGTTTGTATTTGAAAAACTACCCTGTTGTTGTAATGTTTTTATTCAAAATTTTAAATGTATTTTTTAATATTTTTAACATGTTTGTGACAGTGTTTTTTTACAACTAGGACCAACTGAACATTTTCAATGTAGGTTTTTAAATGTTGATTTCCACCACTGTACTATAATAGGTTTTCCATTTAGGTGCTGATGAAGGTGACAACATATCACCGAAAATTTCACATATAGAATAAAGTTCTACACCAAGCTGGCTTATACCATCTCTAGCTGATCCTTGTTTTGACGCTTTCCCGAAAGTTACCCTCCAAAGAATTATATATATATATATATATATATATATATATATATATATATATACATTTTTAACTGATAAAACGTCATAGCAACGTTACGTTTGGTTGCGTTACGTAGTGCTATGGTTGGTCCGTACTTTTCTATGGTGCAGAAGTGTGGATGCTAAAAGTATTGATTATGAACAAAATTGAAGCATTGGAAATGTGGGTTCATAGACGAATGCTGAAAATACCCTAAACAGCAAGAAAAATTATTGAAGAAGTACTAAGAAGTGTCAACAAAAATAAAAAACTGCTAAAGACTGTTAAACATCGAAAAATGTCTTATCTGGGACACATAGTAAGGGGAAGTTGATATCAAATATTACAACTGATTCTTAAAGGAAAAATAGAGGGCTGTAGAGTTAAATAGAGAAAACAAATTTCTTGGTTAAAAAACATTCGTGACTGGACTCAGATATCAAATGCAGGACAATTATTTCATATTGCAGAATATCGAGAAGCTTCGCAATGCTGATCGCCAACTTCGGATAATTCTGATATGTCACGCGAAGAAGAAGAAGAAATCACTTAAATGCAAGCTATCTAAAACCATATTCGCAGCTGGGTTCCAGTCACCACACGAAGTTGATCGAAAATCTCAGAACAATAAATGAAGCTAAACCTTCGAGTTCCCAAATACTACAGGTCAATAATACACAAAATCATTCTTTGGTAGAAAATAATGGTCAAACTACTATAGCTTATAATAATTGTATATTTAATATTGTAAACAAATAAATAAAGATTAGGTTTCGTTGATATGTTGCATTATCTCGTGAAATAGTCTTGTCGAATGTCATTCGAGAGAAAATTATTTACCGGCAAAATTTTGCAATTTTTGTTCCCTGGCAATTTTTGCGAATTAAATTTTGACAGTTAAATCACTTGACGTCAATCAAGTTATTTTGTTAAAATTTCAAAAGCGAAAATTGCCAAAAGACCCCCGAAAATATTGCTGACAAATTTTTTCTCTTATGATATTAGATACAATTGAATTATATTATGCTGGAATGCAAATTGAACCAGAAAGATATAAAATAATTATATTACAGTCTACAACAAGAACAAGTGTGTTTTCCAATTAGTATTACAGTATTTACCAAGTTTTCATGAGATGAAAATAATTATTATTAATTGACCATTTGAAAGAAATAAGAATTGTCATGTCATTTAAATAAAACAGTGATAGATATAACAAAACTAAAATATGACGGTAATAAATAACAAATAAAAATCTGAGGCTAACGGACCTGCTTTCAAGTCATCCTCTCTCACACATAAATAAAAAAAATAAATATAAACAGTCAACTAAGAAAAATAAATTATTTACTAAGATTTTATATACATGTTATAAAATATATACACTTACTTTACTTAACAAACAATTAAAATTATCACATTCTAATAAACTAAACATACAACCACCCAATTTGTGTGTGAACAAAACTCTCTCGAGTGATTTTTCCTAAATTGTTTTTCTGTAAGTCCAAACTCATAATGGTGGAATTCTCAAACGCCCTCATATGTAAGAAATGCATGTTGTTTTCAGCGAGAGCTAAAAACAAAGGGTTTTTTAAGTTGGTAAAGATTCCAGTTCCTAGCGATTGGAGCTTGTTTCCATTTAGACCCAGGGCGAGCAAGTAAGGCATGTGCTCAAACGACCCAAACTCTATAGAGTCTATTTCGTTGTAATTAAGCAGCACTTTTCTAAAATTAGTTCCACTAAACATTCCTCTCGTCACTACCTCCAGTTTGTTGTGAGTCAGCGATAAAATCTGCAAGGCATCGTCATACACAGGTAAAACATAGTTGAATGTACCAGGTTCTATACTGTCGATCTTGTTGTGGTCCAAATACAGCTCATCCACCATCACATGCGAGAACATTCTCCTTCTTAAATACGTAAATGTATTGTCCGTGATGACAATTTTCTTCACGTTTACATTGTAGAAAGCCTCGGGTTCTATTTTTTCTACACTGCAATTTTTCACCGTTATACTTCCTTGCTCGATGCGGTCCGCAAATGCGTGTTTTTGTAGCACTGACAATTGTTGATTTTCATTGTACGAAGACAGTCGAAATTCTTGACAGAAAATTGAAGTTGCGATAGTAGAAACAAACAAAAAACACGCACAACACTTTAACATTGTACTTTGCTGGTAAACGAGATGGTAATGAACTGAATGAAATTGTTTATGTCTGTGGGTTATCTTAGACAGGGTCGACCTTAGATAACTCGTACAAATACGAGGGGTGGGAGAGAACTATTAAACATTTGTATTAAAATTATGTTTCTAAACATTTTCCAAATTAAAAATGCGGCACTATAAAAACAGTTCATACCTAAATATAAATAAGAGTTTTTACGATTTTAGATTAATGTTTGAAATTCTAAAAACAAAAATGAATTGGTTATGGAGAATTTGAAATTGATCCTTAAAACAATGATTATAATTTAGAAGGTGAAGTACTTACGTTGAATCTATTTTTCTATTATTGAAAAGCCTTTTGTGTTCAGCTATACGTTTGTTAAAGGTTCTACCAGTTTGACCGATATAAATGTAAGATTTTGAGCAGTATTGAGTATTTGAGCACCATATTTAAGTTTTTTAAATATGTAAAAGCTTTTTATTTTGGCTCTTAATGATCTTAATATATTTACTTAAGTTTTGTTTGTACTGAAAGCGCGTGTTTTTTTTTAGGTTCTAAGGTATTTCGTTGAATTTTTGGTTTTATATTTTATTTGTTTTTTGTTCATTGTAATCATTGTTTGTTGCTATTTACTTAATGATATTCAATTTTATCTCGAAGTTATTTTTTGACATGGGAATTTCTGTTAATCTAAGATGGAACTTAAAGAAGAAGAAGAAGAAGAAGAACAACATATATCAGCTCATCAAAACATATTATACAACATCAAGACGGACATTGGGCATGCACTGATGACGAAAAGGCAAATATATTTCTCGAACACTTGGAAACTGCCTTTACTCCATTTCCCTGTGAGGTACAATCAGAGGAAGGGGAAAATATTTATAGATATTTGGACTGCCCATGCCAGATGTCTCTGCCTATTTAACCTTTTAGAAAAACCGAAATTATTGACGCAATACTTAATAATAAAAAGCTTCTGGTTATGAACTGATTGCTATTGTTCTGCAGTCTTCTTGGACATCACACAAGCTTTTGATAAAGTATGGCATACAGGCTTGCTGTATAAAATTAAACAACAACTACCAATTGAATACTATAACATGTTCAAACAGACAGACATTTACAGATAAAATAAGGTACGATAGTAACTGCATTGAGACCTATAAACTCTGGCGTACCACAAGGTAATGTGCTTGATCCACTCTAATATCTATTGTACACGGCCTACCTACCCACTTCTGATCAGTGTTCCTTGGCAACTTTTGCTTATGATACCATCATCCTCTCGTCGCACACAAACTCGATCGAAGCATCTAGAAGGTTACAAGTCCACTTAAACACCATTAAGATATGGTTAAGAATATGGCGAATCAAGGTTAGTGAAAGTAAATTAATTCATGTAACTTTTACAACTGAACGTCTGACATGTCGACCTGTACAACTAAACAACCAAAATATACCACAATCCGATAGTGCAAAATACCTTGGTATTTATCTTGATAGACAACTTACTTGAAGAAACCACATCTTCAATAAACTAAAACAACTCGGACTAAAATTAAGACCACTTTACTGGCTACTTGGAAGAAGATCTGAACTATCACTAGAAAATAAATTATTAGTGACTAAAGCCATTCTAAAATCCATCTGGACCTATGGTATTTAACTGTGGGGGTGTACAAGCGAATCCAATATTGAAATCTTGCAGAAGTTAGAGATAGATGTTCATAAGGAAATTGTTTAGAATATAAGAAAAAAAATTTTTTTGAATATCAATTTTAGTTAAATTTATTAAGGAAGGTACCAGCACTGGCAGGTATTCTTTGCTCATAATAATTCCTCTGTTCGAATTATCAAATTTGATTATTGTCCAAATAGAACAGATTGCAAATCTTTACTTGGAAAATAAAAAAAAAACAAGAAAAAATTCAAAATTGTCCTTCTTCTTCTTCTTCGGGTTCCTTCTCCTAGCGGAGGTTTGAAATCATCATCGCTATTTTAACTTTGTTGGCCGCATTTCTGAATAATTCTAATGAGCTGCAGCCGAACCACTCTCTCAAATTTCTTAGCCAGGACATTTTGCGTCGTCCTGGGTTTCTCTTCCCTTGTATCTTCCCTTGCATAATCAACCTCAGTAATACGTACTTCTCACCCCTCATTAAATGTCCCAGATATTGAATCTTTCTAATTTTAACAGTTTTTCTGACTTCACATTCTTTCTTCATTCTTTGTAACACCTCTATATTAGTTACTTTTTCAATCCACGATATTTTATGCATTCTCCTGTAGCACCACATCTCAAAGGAGTTTAATTTTTTTATTTCAGACTGCTTTATTGTCCACGCTTCCATGCCATATAGTAAAGTAGAGAAGACGTAACAACGTAGCATTCTTGTGCGAATCTCTAGATTAAGGTTACGGTTGCAAAGTAATTTCTTCAATTTTATGAACGTGTTTCTTGCCATTTCTATTCTAGATCTGATCTCCTTTACTTGATCTCCGTCTTCGGTTAGCCACGTTCCTAAATATTTATATGTTTTTACTCTTTCTATCGTTGTATTATTGATGATCAGGTTATTTACATTTTGTGGTTTTTTTGAGAATATCATTGATTTCGTTTTCTTGAGATTCATTTGCAGTCCGTAACTTTCACATGCATTGTATACATGTTGTATTATGTACTGTAGATCTTCTATGTCACTTGCAAATATGATAGTATCGTCGGCATATCTAATATTATTAATGCTATTTCCGTTGACATAAATACCTTCCACGATATCCAATAAAGCCTCTTGAAAAACACTTCACTGTAGACGTTGAATAAGAGTGGTGAAAGGATACACCCTTGTCGAACTCCTTTAAGTATACTTACTTCCTCTGTCAGTTCTCCTTCGACTCTTACTCTTGCTTTCTGGTTTTGATACAGATTCGATATAATTTGTAGATCTCTACTATCAATGTTTTTAGTCTTAAGAATACTTAAAAGCTTCTCATGTTGAACTCTATCAAAAGCTTTCTTGAAATCTATAAAGCAAGCATATATGTCCTGATTCATATCCAGGCATCGTTGTGTCAGAACATGGACTCCAAATAATGCTTCTCTAGTTCCTAGACCCTTTCTGAAACCCATCTGTGAATCACTTATTTCTTGTTCTAATTTCATGTGGATTCTGTTATGTATGATTTTAAGGAAGGTTTTCAATGTGTGGCTCATTAACGCAATTGTTCGATAGTCATTGCAATCTTTAGCATTTGTGATTTTTGGAATCGTCACAAAAGTTGAGAGAAGCCACTCTTTGGGTATGTGTCAATTTCCTTATTTCCATTAAAATAACAATTTCTTGCCACAACAAAATAGCTTCAGAACAATAGTAATAATAGAATTTGTAATATTGTGGCCTAAAACGTTTTTTTCTAGAAACAAATTTTCTTTTTTATATAGAATACACACAAAAAGAAGGGATACTTCGTACAATTTATATACATAATAAAAAACAAACAATAAGTGCTTAAACAAAAAAAATTAAGCCAAAATGATTAATTCATAAAAAATGCAACTGATAAGAATTGTTGACAACAGAACAAACATTTTACAGAGTTTTTAAACAGTATTAATCCATGTGACATATTATCACATCACCTCCATCTCAAACGAATTATGATTTAATTTCATCGTCTGCAATTTCCTGTTATGGCAACTTTTGCTATGACAATTAATAAGTATCAACGCAGACAGAGCAGGCATAAACTGAGGCATTGTTGCGCGGAACGATTTATTTGCCAAATTTCAGTTCACATTCTCGCAACATTCTCTTCTTCTTCCCCTTTATAAGCAATTCTGTTTGTTTATTGGTGATAATACCTAGGTGGATGTATATCTCTCCATCTTTTGCGTGGTCGTTCGATACTTCTTCTGCTGATTGGTGACTTATCTCTTGCTATTTTGACGACACGGGTATCCCCATTCTACTTATGTGGTTATTCCATTCTTTTTTTTTTTCTATTTTGTCATTTATTTGTCATCTTATTTTGTCAAGGCATCATGCCAGCCTATTTGCTTTTTGTACTTGATCTCTCACTTTTTTGTCCAGGTTTCATAGCTGGACAATAAAATTTCAAGGTATTTTATTTCCATTACATGTTCAATAGTGATGCCATCAATTTCTATTTTACATCTGACTGGTTCTTTGCTGATTACCATTGTTTTAGTTTTAAGAGATAAGATTATCATATTAAATTCTTTTGCTCTTATGTTAAATCTGTGGACTAGTCTTTGCAGACTATCTTCATCTTGGGCTATCAATATTGCGTCGTCCTTGTAACAGAGTATTTTTATTTCTTTGTTTCCCATTCTGCATCCTGTTCTTTTGTCCAACACGGCAAACCTCACCAGGCCCGGACACCGCAAGGATTGACAGATTAAGAGTTCTTTCTTGATTCGGTGGGTGGTGGTGCATGGCCGTTCTTAGTTGGTAGAGCGATTTGTCTGGTTAATTCTGATAACGAACCAGACTCTAGCCTGCTAACTAGGCATATTTCGACATCCCAAAGGCCCGTCGGAGAAGTTTCCTGCTCTTGCTGCCTGCGGTTTTTACTGTCGGCGTACACACAATTTTCTTAGAGGAACAGGCAGTTTCTAGCCGTACGAGATTGAGCAATACTAGGTCTATGATGCTCTTAGATGTTCTGAGTCGCACACATGCTACACTGAAGGAGTCAGCGTGGCCTACCTGGCTGAACGGCCCGGATAACCCGTTGAACCTCCTACGTGGTAGGGATTGAGGCTTGCAATTGTTCCCCATGAAGGAGGCATTGCCAGTAAGCCCGAGTCATAAGCTCCCGTTGATTATATCCCTGACCTTTGTCGCTCGTCGCTACTACCGATTGAATCGCTCGCTCGATTAAAACTGTCGCTTTTGATGATCTCATCCATGATTAAATTAAAGAGCATATGGCTCAATAAGTCGCCTTGTCTTATTCCGCTGTCTGATTCTATAGGTTCTGTAAGTTGTCCATCTATTC